AGAATTTAAAATTGTTAAATTGGAGATGGGGTGACAATGGGGGAATGTGGAAGATGAGATTGGACAGAGGTGGGACCAGGTTTTGACTAGCTCTGCATGTGATAAGGAGTCTATGAGATTTCTTTCTCAAAGTTATAGAGGAATTTAGTTTGTTCAGAGCTGGAGTTCTGGAAAGGTAACAGTGGGTGATGGATTAAGAATGGAAAAATAAAGATTTGCTTTAGAACAACAGCCAATTTAAAATAGCATTGGCTAAATCATTGTTCTTTATGAAATTTTAGGGGTCCCTGGAATTAATTTCTATTGTTAATGGCTAGTTCTAACTATTTTTTTCTAGAGTTGGTATATCATCTACAGTGGCTCTGAGTATGTAAATGTAGGTATGTACATGTAGTGTTTTTTAATGAACTACTTATTTTATAATAGTTTTATATTTGCAGAAGAGATGCAAAAATAGTGCAGAGAGTGGGGCTGGCCAGGTGGCATAGTGGTTAAGTTTGTACGCTCCGCTTCAGTGACCCAGGGTTTGCAGGTTCAAATCCCCGGAGCGGACTGACGTACTGCTCATCAAGCCATGCTGTGGAGGCATCCCACATATAAAATAGAGAAAGATGGGCACAGATGTTAGCTTAGAGTCAATCTTCCTCAGCAAAAGGAGGAAGATTGGCAACAGATGTTAGCTCAGGTCCAATCTTCCTCACCAAAAAAAAAAAAAAAATAGTGCAGAGAGTTGCCACATACTCTCCATCCAGTCTCCTCTATTGCTAACATATTACATGCTGTATTGCCACAACTAAGAAACCAACATTGGTACATTACTATTATTAACCAAATTCCGCTAAACACCACATCTTATTTAGATTTCACTAGCTGTTGTTTTTTTTTTCCCCTAGTGTTCTTTTTCTGTTTTAGGATCCCATCCAGGATGCACTATTACATTTAGTCTTTATATCTTATAGCCTCCTCCGATGTGTGATAGTTTCTCAGATGTTCCTTGTGTTTCATGACCTTTACAATTTCAAGGAGTACTAGTTAGGTATTCTGTAGAACGTCCCTCAATTTGGGTTTGGCACGTGTGTTTTCTCATGGTTAGTCTGGGGTTAGGGTTTTGGTGATGAAGACTGAAGGCGTGAAGGGCCATTCTCATTATATCTTATCAAAGGGTACATGGTATCAAGAGGACCTTCTTATCATTCTTATCAAAGTGTACGTGCTACCAACAAGATACCACTGATGTTACCTTTGATCTGAGATTGGTTGTGTTTGCCAACTTTCACCACTCTAAATTACCCTTCCACCCTCACCCCTCCCTTTGTCCCTGTTCCATACTCTACTCTGTCTAAAGGAGTTACTAAGCACAGTCCACACTCACAGGACAGGGGTAAGGGGGGGCAGTATCTACGTACATTATTCAAAATTCTATAAGGGAATTTGTCTCCCATCCATTTGTCCCCATTTATTTATTTATTCACTCATTTATATCAGCATGGACTGATCCCAGAGGTATTTATGTTATACTTTGGATTATAACTCTGCACTATGTTATATATTTTGTTGTTCATATTGTTCCAGATTTTGGTCATTGGGAGCTCTTTCAAGTGGGCTCCTGTATCCCTTCGACATATGGCATTCTTTTATTTTTCGAGCACTTTTGTAGCTATATTTTGAATATAAAACGGTGGCATTCAGGTATTTTATCTATAAAGTTGGAAGAAAATGAAATGTTAATCTTGACACTGTTATATGTTACATAATATCCACGGGTATAGGCACATTTTATTATTTGCCAATTGGAGAGCATACCATGTTTAAGGCGTTATACTAATTAAGATGTGTAATAAAAGATTGAAGTGGCGTACAACACCACATATTGCAGTACACAGCCAATAAGGCTCACTTAGCACGGCACTCCGTCAATTGCAGCTCGTTTTGAATGAGTAATATTAAATCTAAGCTTAAAACCAGCTAAAAAAAAATGCAAAGTGAAATTAGAAATTCTTAACATTTAGAAATTCTTGAAAGTCAAACTCTTATCTCTAACTACTTTAAATGACAGGTCTGCAGCCCTAATTTTTATAGTAATATCAAAGCAAAGCTCTCTGAGCTTAATTCTGCTTTTCATTTCACAAATCAATTTTCTCTTCAAAGACATGACTCGTTTATTATTCGTTTTAAAATACACTGTTACCTTAGTAACTACCAAATTCTATGCCTTACGTAGCAGTGTTGATGAAGGGAATCTTACAAAAGACTCAAAGAAAATAAAGAGACTTGACACTGCTGTTTGATTCTAATGTCTAGAAAGACCTATCACAGACTGTTAACCATCACAGACTGTTAAAGCACCTATGCTATCTTCTAACAGACCTACAAATGCTACACAAGAATCCAGGCTGATTTACAATCCCCACCTTTTATTTCCCGCACTGCCAGTCATCCAGGTCCTCCCACCACCTGAATTAGCATCTTGTGGTGTATTGCCATTGCTCACGTACTTACTCAGCATATTTTCTGCGTCCTTGGTGAAGTGATATGAGGTTGTAAAGGGAATTTACGCTGGCACTAAATAAGTGTGAACCTGCATGTCACTTAGATTTTCACGAACCTGTAACTTTGGATGCATTGACTTAATTGGGGGAATCACGCAAGTGACGCCAGCATAAAGATGACCATAAACCGGCCATCAGATGTCTGGACTCAAGTTCCAACCAGCAATATTCAATATTGTACGATGTAGCAGGCTCCTCTGAGATTCATTTTTTAGCTTTTAAAATAGATGATTTAAATATATTATCGTCAAGATTTCTTCTAGTTCTGAAATCCATGACGCTCTGATAAAAATTTTCCTTTGCTATTTCCTCAAATAATTAATTCACTGACTGCATTGATTTCTCCGCAGCACCTGCAAACACAGCTACATCTTCTCTTGGAGGCTTTCTCCCTTAAAATGCAATTACTGGAGGTTTAAGTTATCCCGGTGCAAAGGGAAATATGTAAGTCAGGAGAGAATAAAGATTTTTGAGATTATTATTTTAATCAGCCATATATTCAGTCTAGTTTGTGCAGGATAATAAAAGTTTGTGTGAATGCAGCTATTTCTTAATCATTCAGAGTTCTAGCACAAGCAATAGGAGATCAAACATATGTACATATATATCTTTCTCACCTATATTGCTGAGAGTTGTGTTATGGATTGAACTGTGCCCACCCCCGCCCCCAATTCATATGTTGAAATCCTATCCCCTAACACCTCAGAATATGACTTTATTTGGAAGTAGGGTTTTTCAGATGTAATTAGTTAAGATGTGTGGTCACAATGGAGTAGGGTGGGCTCCTGATCTAATATGACTGGTGTCCTTATAAAAAAAGAGAAATTTGGACCCAGACACAGGGAGAACATCATGTGAAGATTTAAGTTATGCTCCCACAAGGCAAGGAACTATCAGAACCTACGAGAGAGGACTAGAGCTCCTTCCCTGGGGTCTTCAGAGGGACTCTGGTCCTACCGACACCTTGATTTCAGACTTCTGGCCTCCAGAACTGTAATACAAAAAATTTCTGTTGTTCTAAGCCACTTTGTTTGTGGTACTTTGTTACAGCAGCCCTGGGAAATTAATACAAACTGTAACACAGGTGTATGGTGCAGGGGTTAAGGGGTGGATTTCTTTTAATATCAGTGAATGTATTAGTACCATCACTGGCTTATGGATTTATTTTGCCCATGTTGCTGTTTGGGTTAGAACACATGCCAGTATATTTTCCTATTAGTTATGAGATATGTGTTTTCAAATACGGGGCTTTGTCACTTACTAGCTAGGTAATTAACCTCACTGATCTTCAGTTCCCTGATAATAGTAATACTTGATCTAACACTGCATGGGCCTATTTGTGAGGATCAAATGAGAATCTAAGTGAGAAACAATATAGAGGCACCTAGAAAGGATGCAGTGTAGACGTTAAGATCGGGGACCTTACAGCCAGGCTGAATTAGTTCAAATTCTACTCCTCCTTTTATTCATTGTGACTGCACTATAGACTCAATTCCATGATTTTAAAATGAGAGTTTTAATAGTACCTTTGTCTTAAAATTGTAGTGAAGATCAATGAGTCAATACATAAAGATGTTTCAGAAGTTTGTCCCACACATAGAAAGAACTCAATAAGTGGTATCTAATAGAAGTAACTTGCAAACTGTAAAGAACCATACAAATGTTAGATTATTAAATTTTGTAGTTAGTAAAGAGCTTATTGATGAATGCACTTACACATCAATAACTCTGACTTTCTAGATTTTGTCAACATGCATTTTAGCAGCATCATGTTTTTGGAGAGCTAAGGAGGGACAATCACAGATGAGGGATGTTACCAGTGGACCAGGTTTGCCTGGGGAATCAGAAGAACATTAGAACTAGCGGCTATTTCTGGTAGTCATTAGTTATTTCATTTTCTGGTGTGAAAATATTTTAGAGCCAAACTTTTTGTTGAGCGTCACACTAATTGCTCTGACATGCAAACAAAAAGCAAAGGATTTAAGTAGATTTTATTTGGCCATATAGAAATGGGAATTGATTTTTTAAAAACTGCTTTTAAAAGTTTCCAATGAAACCTGTTTGCATATATTTGAATTGAGATACACTGTCTATACATCACCCTCCTAGTTGACAGTAAGTAAAAAATAGCCAGCCACTTTCTCACCTTGCTGTAAGCCTCAAGGTGAGCTTTTTGGGTCAAATAAAAGACTGCCATTGGAAAACACTACTTGCTTCATGTGTGTCTGGCCTTTCAGAGGAAAAGAAACATTTTAGCGTCTGGCCTTGCAGAGGAGAAAGAAGTGTTTTAGTAAAATGCCTTCTATTAGTTTACTGGAAGGAAATAGAAACAGTTGAAACTTTTAAAAATGAATTATATTATCACATTTACTCAATTTCACACAACTTACCCAGGAAGTATATATTTGGAAGACAGATTGTCTCAGTGCCGTGGATAAGTTATAGTCTTCAGAACTGTGGTGTGTTTGGTGTCCAGCCCACATAATATTAACCTCTGCAAAACACATAATTTGAAATGAGCCATGAGAATAAGAACAAAGCAACTTCCATTTTCAGTTATACGTGCTGCTCTGTTGAGTGAAAAAGGAAAAACCTGGAACATCTCTGAAAAAGCTAGCCAACATAATTAGAATTAAAATAAGCTGTCTAAAATCACTTTTGGAAGCAGGGAGGGTATAAATTACAAACAAATAAAAAAATTGAAATGTAGCCAATAAATATGTATAGTGTATATGATATAATTAAATGCCTCCAGCAAACTGAAATGGCTTGCAAAATTTACACTTTGCTAACGTATTACAATGCGACAGATCGTAAAAGCTAGCTGGTAATGTTGTAACAATACAGTCAATGGATAGTGATGATTTTTCAGTATGTGATAACATATTTCTAATTAAAGAAGAATACTCTGATAGTAGAAATTGTTGTGTAAATTTTGAAATGAAATATTATATAATAATCTTTCCTGATGTCTTTCTGAGAAGTCTCAAAATCTGTCTATTGGAATAAGAAGCAAAGCAGAATAATTTTGGGTCTAAGATTTAAGGTTTCATTTTTATTTACAGAAATATATTAGCTAATAGTTACATGTAGCTCTTTCCATATCTTACCAAAGCACTATACCATTTCTAAAATTGTCCCACATAGCTGTTGTTTGTCCTCATAATAAAAAATGAAAAGTAAGTTGTTTCTTTTCCTTGAGCATTATGCAGATTGCCAACATATTGCCTTGAGTTTCATATATACCCAAAAAGGATAGTTGTTTATTTTTCTACAACAAACATGCCATTAAAATGACCCCCCGAGGAGATGGAATAGAAGAGAACAAGCCCACATTTTTTATTCTGTCCATATTTTTCATTTCCTACCTGAATTACAGATAAAAATTCCACATTATATTCTATTCAAGTAAAAGAAAATATATTCTTAGCTAAAATAACTTATATTTAGTCTTTTGCTACAAATACAGGAGATAGAATTAATCTTGTGATATATGATCATTGTATTCCTGCTAGTAGAGATTAGAAATTAAATATTTTAGGCTTGGATGCAGGGCAACTGAACAGTGAACCTAAGAGTGGAAATATTGGGTTATTGATCTTTGCAGTTGCCATGTACTAATAGTTAAAATACACGGCATATGGCAGAATAATTCTTTAAATATTTTTATGAAAAATATGGAGATATGTGTGTGTGTGTGTATATATATATATCCCAATGGACTTCCTGGGCATTTATTTAGGAAATGAAAGCTCTCTGGGTAACCTGTACAAGGAGTTACCAAACAAACTTTGCAAAAGGGTTTTGGTAGACAAATGATAACAGGACTTAATTCTGTGAGAACGAGAAGATTATGAACAGGATTATGAATAGACAACCCTATCAGAAGTCATTTCTATGAAAATCATATATTTTCAGTGAAGCAAGTATTTTCATAAACCGTCAATTTATATGTAATTTAGATACTGATTGGTTGACATTTTACTCATTCCTAAAGATGACCCTGTATTCCAACCCAAGCAATTGAGGAAAGTGTTCTACACAGATGAGAACTACTTCACCATAATGACTTCTAAAACTTCCCAGGCATAATCCTTGAAATAACCGAGAACCTCATCTCTGGTTTATTGACCAGCCTATATAGCTATAAATAGGAGATACACAAAGAATCCTGTGGCACTTCATATCTTCAGATGTTGTGTGGAGGTTTATTAAGAGGTAATAAATTTAATGAATCTCCTAAGTCTTTTAAAACTTCTTACAGATTGAGCCCTTAAAGTAATTCTAAACACAATTTTCTCTTCAGAACATTCTCATTATTGAACATTTCAGAACCTATTACTTATAAACATCATTAAAAATAAAAACATCATTCATTCATTTTTTTGGACCTTTCAGAATTTGTTTAAAAAATTCATCATAATGTACCTATATTATGAATTCACAAGGGGATGAGCTAATCATTTGAGGTTTAATTGGAGGATAATAGTATATATTGGAACTACTCCTTTATAACCTCCACAGAAGCTAAATGGTGGAACAAACAATCCACAAAGGTAGAGGTTAAAGACCTGTCTCTTCAGTTGTTTTAAAAGCATTTACTTCCTATCACAAATTGTGTGTAGCACAAGCCTTCATTCAATGAAGCACAGCTGTATAAACAGGGTACAGTAACTGGATCCTACTGCCTTACTTCTGCCACTTTTCAGAGAGGGGGAAAATAAGAAGAAATATAGGATTTTTTTTCACAGTCTATATTCAGCTTACTGGAAATAAATTATTTTCAAAGAAGTTATAAAAATGCATTTTACAGAAAATTGTTCCAATAGTTATTTGTAAACAAAGTGAGAAAAAGTTAATAGTCTGTTTGCAAAGATGTTCACCTTCCCTAATATTTGAATTGACGACTAGCCTGTTCTAGGAATAAAAACAAATATTAAAGAGGAAAAAAATATTATCACAATAAACTTCTTTCTGTAAAAGAATTAATGTAATTGTAAGTTGTAGTCGATAATACTTTTCTTTTCCTATAAGCAAATTATTGGTTATACAAGCATATGGTATGTTATTATGACTTTTCAGTGATATAATTAGTAATACTCATGCTGCTTTCCAGTGCTGAAATGTATATTTGTATAAATTATTTTATTAACTCGTTTACCAATGACTCAATTTATTTGGCCAAAATTTAATGTAATATGTGTGTTTGTGTGTATGTTATATTCTTGAGTTTTTAAACTTTTTTCTATTTTTTAAAAATTAAGGTATAACTTACATACAGTGAAATTCATCCCTTTTAGGATTCAATGCGATTAGTTTTTACCAAACAAATACAGCTGTGTAATCACCATCACAATCAAGATACAGAAAAGCTTTGATCATCCCCAAAAGTTCCCATTCCACTTTGTGTTTGTGGCAGGCTGACTCTGAGATGGCTCCCTGATTTAGATGACGAGATTCTGGACTTTGAATTGATAATGTAATGAAATGAAACTCTTAGGACCTTGGGAGAGGTGAGTGTGTTTTGAATGTGGGAGAAATATAAACCACTGGGATCCCGAGGGCTGCCTGCGAAAGGCAGTCTTTAAGATAGCCCCCAATGATTCCTGCCTACTAGTGTTCATCCCCTTGTATAATCCCTCTGCTTGAGTGCGGGCTGGATTTAGTGACTCCCTTCTAGGAAATATAATTTTGGCAAAGGGGATGGGATGTCACTCCTAATGTCAGGTTATAAAAAGACAGTGGCTATGTCTTGGGTACTCTGTCTCATACTCTCACATGCTCTGTCTGAGGAAAGTCAGCTGTCATGCTGTGAGCTGCCCTTGGGAGAAGCACATATGGCAGGAAACTAGGAAAGGTCTCAAGCTAATCAGCTAGCAAGGAAATAAGCTCATCAGTCCAAACTCCACAAGGAACTGAATCCTGCCAAAACCATGTAAATGAGTTTAGAAGCAGATCCTCCCCCAGCTGAGCCTTCAGCTAACACTGCACCAGCGGACAGCTGAGATGCTCAACTACATCTCACGAAAGAACTTAAGCCAGAAGCACTCACCTGAGCTGTGTCTGGATTTCTGACCCACGGAAGCTGTGAGAGAAGCAGTAGATAACTGCTGTTACAAAGCAGTAGATAATTAATACAGTGGTCAATGCCCCCAACCTCATTCTCAGTCCCCAACACCCACTTATTTGGTTTCTTTCCTATAGTTTTGCCTTTTTGAGAATGTCATATAAATGAATTACACAGTATTTGGCCTTTTGAATCTGGTTTCTTTCACTTAGCATGAGGCATTACAGATTCCTCCATTTTGCTGTGTTTATAAGTAGTTTGCTCCTTTTATTTTGCTGAGTAGTATTCCATTTTCATGGATGTACCAGTTTTTGTTTTGTTTTGTTTTTATCCATTCAGTAGTGGAAGAACATTTCAGTTGTTTCCAGTTTTTGGCAACTACGAATAAAGCGTCTACAAACATTCTCATACAGGTTTTCTGAGAACATAAGTTTAATTTCACGCGTGGGTCAATACCCAGGAAGGAAATTACTGAGCTTGTATGGTACATTTACACTTAGCTTGTTAAGAAGCCATCAAACTATTTTCCAAAATGATGGTCCCTTTTTGTATTATCACCAGCAATGTACAAGACTTAAAGTTGCTCCACATCCCTGGCAGCACTTGAAATTATTTTTATATTTATTTATTTGATAGCCAGTGAGTCATGGTATCACATTGAAATTGTAATTTGTATTGCCACAATGGCTAATGACTATGATTATCTCTCCATCTGCCATCTATACATCTTCTTTGAGCTATCTATTCAAAAGGTGTGCCCACATTTTAATTGGGTTGTTTTCTTATTAATGAGTGTTGAGAGATCTCTATATAGTCTGCATACAAGTCCTTTATTGGATATGTGATTTACAAACATCTCCTAGGCTGTGGCTTGACCTTTCATTTTTTAACAGTGTCTTATGAAGAACAAAAGTTTTAGTTTTGATGAAATTCACTTTATATACTTGAGAATTTTATTAAAAGAGATTTTTAGTGTAGGGGCTGGCCTGGTGGCATAGTGATTAAGTTCGCACGCTCCGTTTCGGCGGCCTGGGGTTCACTGGTGTGGATCCTGGGCGCGGACGTTCGCACCACTCCCCAGGCCATGCTGAGGTAGCGTCCCACAAAGAGCAACTAGAAGGATGTACAACTATGACATACAACTATCTACTGGGGCTTTGGGGAGAAAAAAGGAAAAAAAGAGGAAGGGTGGCAACAGATGTTAGCTCGGGGCCAATCTTCCTGAAAAAAAAAAAAAGAAATTTATAGTGTATATTTCAAATAACAAGGGTTATTTTGGAAAAATTTTTCAGAATGATGAGAAATTTGTGTCTACAAGCTAACAGAGTCTAAATGTATTATACACCTAAAATATATCTGAATAAGTCTCTTGTCTCATATCTTGTCACCTATGGAATGGAGAGAAGTAACCCTTTAGGTTAATCTGA